ATTTTTTTTAATAAAAATTTAAAAAAAAAAAATAAATTTTTTTTAAAAAATTTAAAAAAAAAATTTTTTATTAAAAAAAAAATAAAAAAAAAATATTAAATTTTTAATTTATTTTTTTTTTTTTTTTTTAAAAAAATAAAAATAAAAAATAATTAATTAATTTTTTAAAAAATTTTAAATTTTTTTATTTATTTAAAAAAAAAATTTTAAAAAAAAATAAAAAAATATTTTTTTTTATTTAAAAAAAAAATATTTTTTTTTAAAAAAAAAAAAAAAAAAAATTTTATAAAATAAAAAAAAAAAAAAAAAAAATTTTTTTTATATATTTTTTTTAAAAATTAAAAAAAAAAAAAAAATATAATAAATTTTTTTTAAAAAAAATTTAATTTTTTTTTTTAAAATAAATTATAAAATATAAAAAAAAATTTTTTAAAAATTAAAAATTTTAAATATATAAAAAAAATATATTTTTTTTAAAAAAAATTTATTTTTAAAAAATTTTTTTTAATAAAAAATTAATTAAAAAAAATTTTAAAAAATTTTTTAAAAAAAAAAATTATTAAATAAATAAATTTTTTAAAAATTAAAAAAAAATAATTTTTTAAAAAAAAAAAAAAAAATATTATTATTTTTTATTTTTTTTTTATTATTATTAAAAAAAAATTATTAAAAAAATATTTAAATTAAATTTTTAAAATTTTTTAAATTTTATTTTTAAAAAAAAAAAAATTTTATTTAAATTTTTAAAAAAAATTTATTTTTAATTTTATTTTTAAAAATTTTTAAAATTATTTAAATAAAAAAAAAAAAAATTTTTAAAAATTTTTTAATTAAATAAATATTTTAAAAATAATAATTATTTACAAATTTTTTTTTTTTAAAATTTTAAATTAAAAAAAAAAATTTTTTTTTTTTAAATTTTTTTAAATTAATAAAAATATAAAAAAAAAAAAAAAAAAAAAAAAAAAAAAAAAAAAAAAAAAATATTTTTTAAAATATAAATTTTTATAAAATAAAAAATTAAATTTTTTAATAAATATTTTTTTATTTTTTAAAAAAAAAAAAAAAAAAAAATTATATATTATTTTTTTAAATATTTTTAAAAAAAAAAAAATTTTTTTAAAAAAATTAAATATTTAAAAATAAAAAAATAAAAATATTTTAAAAAAAAAATTTTTTTTTTTTTTAAAAAAAATTAAAAAAAAAATTTATTTATAAAATAATAAAATTTTTTTTTTTTTTTTTTTTATTTTTTTAAAAAAAAAATTATATTTTTTAAAAAATTTAAAAAAAAAAAAAAAAAAATAAAAAAAAAATTTTAAAAAAATTTTTTTAATTTTTAAAAATTTTATTAAAAAAAAAAATTTTTTTTTTATATAAAAAAAAATAAAAATTTTTTTTTTTTTATAAAATTAAATTTTTTTTTTTTTAATTTAAAAAAAATTAAAATTAAAAATTAAATATATTTTTTAAAAAAAAAAAAATAAAAATTTTATATTTTTTTTTTTAATTTTATAAAAAAAAAAATAAAAATTTTATTTATTTAAAATTTTAAATTTTTAAAAAAAAATAAAAAAAAAAAAATTATTATATTTTTTTTTAAATTATTTATAAAAAAAAAAAATTTAAAAAATTTTACATTTAAAAAAAATATAAATTTTTTTTTTTTTATAATTAAAAAAAAAAAATAAAATAAAAATTAAAAAAATTTAATTAAAAAAAAAAAAAAAAAAAAATAAAATTATAATTAAAAAAAAAATAAAAAAAAAAAAAAAAATTAAAAAAATTAAAAAATAAAATATAAAAAAAAAATTAATTTTTTAAAAAATTTTAATTTAAAAATTTTTATTAATAAAAATTTATTTTTATAAAAAAAATATATTAATAAAAAATTTTATTTTTAAAAAAAATAAAAATAATTTTAAAAAAATTTTTTAAAAAAAAATAAAAAAAAAAAATATTTTTTTTTTATTTTTTAAAATATATAATTATTAATATAAAATTTAAAATTTTAATATTTTATAAAATAAAAAAAAAAAATATTATATAAATAATATAAAAATATAAATTTAATTTTTTAAAAATATTATTTTTTATTTTAATATAATATTATAAAAATAAATTTATTTATAAATTATTTTTTTTAAATTTAAAAAAAAAAAAAAATTTTTAATTTTATATAAAAAAAAAAAAAATTTTTTTTTTTTTTAAAATTATTTTTTTTTTTTTTTTTTATTAAATATTTATATTTTATTATTATTTTTTTTTAATATATATATTTAAATTTTATATATTTAAAATTTTTATATATTTTTTTTTATAATATTTTTTATTTTTTTTTTTTTTATTTATATATATTTTTTATATTATAATTATATATTTTTTTATTTATTTTTTTTATATTTTTTTTTTTTTTTTTTTTTTATAATTTTATTTTTTTTTATTATTTTTTTAATTTATTTTTTTATATTTTTTTATATTTAATTTTTTTTTTTTTTTATATATTTTTTTTATTTTTTATATATATTTTTTTTTTTTTTTTTTTTTTTATTTTTTTTTTTTTTTTTATTTTATTAAATTTTTTTATATTTATATTATATTTTTTTTTTTATTTTTTTTTTTTTTTTTTTATATTTTATTTTTTTATTTATATAATTTATTTTTTTTTATTTTTTTTTTATATTATATTTAATATATTTTATTTTATTAATTTTATATATTTTTTATTTATTTTTATATAAAAAATATATATTAAAAAATTTTTTTTATATAATATAAATAATTTTATTTAAATATAATATTTTTTTTTTTTATATTTTTTTTTTTTTATTTTTATTTATTATTATATTTTTAATTTTTTTAATTTTTTTTTTTTTTTATTTTATTTATTTTATAATAATAAAATTTTAAATTTTAATATAATTTTAATTTTATATATATTTTTTTTATATATAAAAATATATTTTAAATATTTTTTTTTTATTATTTTTTATAAAATATTTTTATTATAAATATTTAAAAAAAATAAAAATAATATTTTTTAATATAAAATTATACATAATTTTAATAAAAAATATAATAAATATTATATATAAAATAAATTATAATTAAAATAAATATTATATAAAATTTATAATTATAAAAAAAATAAATTAATAAAATATATTATATAAAATATAATTGTACTTATACTAAAATATAAATAAATAAAATATTTATTATTATAATTGTATATTATTGTACTTATTCTACACACAAACACATATAAATAAAATAAACATATATACCTATATAATAATTATTCTAGATATAATAATAATAATGTTAAATATTCAGTATATAAAGTAAGCGACAGAAGTATTATATAATAATAACAATGCAACTGATTATAGCACAAACAGGGAGTACAGGTAGTTAGCCGCTCACTGGATTTCAGGCAGGATCAACAGGCATTTTGTTTTGCACGTATTGAACAGATACAATAAAATACTCACAGTGGGATACTAAATAGAAAAGAAAACAAAAAAGCCAAATAAAATTAAAACAAAATATTAATTGTTAGGGCTTTATGTGATTGTGAAGTAACAAGGTGTGGGAGGTCACAAATGTGGCCCCTGATGTCACCAAAGGGCCACAGATAATATATAGTATCTGCACAGCTGCAGAGATCACAGTGTGAAGATTCCATATATATATAACAACAGACAAAGTTCTGAGAACAGATGTGAGACGACGATAGCAAAGCCCGCCTTCCGATGGCGCCTGACCTGGTCCTCGCAGTCGCGGTTTCATGACAATGATCAGTCACCGAACATTAGCATCGCACAGGCGCAGTGCGACCGGAGCCGCACTACCCAACCGACCAATCAGGAGATTCCTCCACTGCCAGACAAATAAAGAGGTCATACTTGCCTGCTCTGGTCCCTGAACACCTCCTTTGGCAGACCCCCCCCACCAGCGCTCTCAACTCCTCCTCTTCTCTGAGTGCCCCCCTCAGCAAGCCAGGCGCTACAGGGGCACCCGAGCGTATGCACTGCTGAGCTGAGTGCGTCCATAGCCACACACAACACTGGTAAGCCACGCCCCTGCTTCCTCCTCCATGGAGTTTGAATGACGGCAACAGTAGCCAATCTCTCCACTGTCCTCAGTGTCTCCTGTGAGGGGCGGGGCTGTATCTAGAACAGTGCTGGATTAGTGGGAGGGGCCAGTTAAATATTTGGGATGAGGGGGAGGGGTAGAGCGGTAAGTGGGTGTCATAGGTTTACCCTGCAGTACTGCTTTCTGCCACTAGATGTCCTCAGACTTACGGCCAGCATCATTCAACCCGCTTTCTCCAAGTCCAGGTCTTCCCATACCCACCCCCAGCCTGTGATTGGACAGCGTAGTGAGAAGCAGCACAGTGATGAGCTCATCATCTGTCACTCCGCTCTCTCCTCCTATCGGCGTGCTTCTTGGCAGCAAAGGAACGGATTGGCAAGGACTGAAAGAGGCTGACAGCAGGTCACATCCAGGGACTCACGTTGCTCGTGTTTAATGAGGTATTAATGTACACGGAGCTGCATTCCTGCATGACGTCATATCGGGCCGGAGTTCAGCTCTGAGTGAAATGATGAAATGAGGTGAATTCCTATTCAGAGGACGGATTGCAGACAAGGCACAAGTACACCTGTCAATCAGCTTCTTCAGGGATGAACGTCACACATCGTAAATCCGTCACATTGCTGCGATAATTGTCAGAGCCGAGATTTATAGCAGGAGGAGGATAATGACCGAGCAATAATATTCTGCATTCATCATCTCCTGACAGGCTGAGGACTTTCCAGAGGCCTGGGGCCCAACCTGTGGCCCTTGGAAGACCCCTGCAGAAAACGGTGGAAGCATTTATTTGTAACAAGGCCTCCTGTACCACATCTGCAGTCTCTGATCATCTCCTGTACTGTGTCCGCAGTCTCTGGTCATCTCCTGTACTATCCGCAGTCCTGATCATCTCCTGGTCCGCATCATCTCCTGTACTATGTCCGCAGTCTCTGATCATCTCCTGTACTATGTCCGCAGTCTCTGGTCATCTCCTGTACTGTGTCCGCAGTCTCTGATCATCTCCTGTACTGTGTCCGCAGTCTCTGGTCATCTCCTGTACTGTGTCCGCAGTCTCTGGTCATCTCCTGTACTGTGTCCGCAGTCTCTGGTCATCTCCTGTACTGTGTCCGCAGTCTCTGGTCATCTCCTGTACTGTGTCCGCAGTCTCCTGGTCATCTCCTGTACTATGTCTGCAGTCTCTGGTCATCTCCTGTACTGTGTCTGCAGTCTCTGGTCATCTCCTGTACTGTGTCTGCAGTCTCTGCTCATCTCCTGTACTGTGTCCGCAGTCTCTGGTCATCTCCTGTACTGTGTCCGCAGTCTCTGGTCATCTCCTGTACTGTGTCCGCAGTCTCTGGTCATCTCCTGTATTGTGTCCGCAGTCTCTGGTCATCTCCTGTACTGTGTCCGCAGTCTCTGGTCATCTCCTGTACTGTGTCCGCAGTCTCTGGTCATCTCCTGTACTATGTCTGCAGTCTCTGCTCATCTCCTGTCATGTCCGCAGTCTCTGGTCATCTCCTGTACCGTGTCCGCAGTCTCTGGTCATCTCCTGTACCGTGTCCGCAGTCTCCGGTCATCTCCTGTACCGTGTCCGCAGTCTCTGGTCATCCCCTGTACTGTGTCCGCAGTCTCCGGTCATCTCCTGTACCGTGTCCGCAGTCTCCGGTCATCTCCTGTACCGTGTCCGCAGTCTCTGGTCATCTCCTGTACTGTGTCTGCAGTCTCTGGTCATCTCCTGTACTATGTCCGCAGTCTCTGGTCATCTCCTGTACTGTGTCCGCAGTCTCTGGTCATCTCCTGTACTGTGTCCGCAGTCTCTGGTCATCTCCTGTACTGTGTCCGCAGTCTCCGGTCATCTCCTGTACTGTGTCTGCAGTCTCCGGTCATCTCCTGTACTATACTGCAGTCTCTGACCATCTCCTGTACTATGTCCGCAGTCTCTGGTCATCTCCTGTACTATGTCCGCAGTCTCTGGTCATCTCCTGTACTATGTCCGCAGTCTCTGGTCATCTCCTGTACTATGTCCGCAGTCTCTGACCATCTCCTGTACTATGTCTGCAGTCTCTGACCATCTCCTGTACTATGTCTGCAGTCTCTGACCATCTCCTGTACTATGTCTGCAGTCTCTGGTCATCTCCTGTACCGTGTCCGCAGTCTCCGGTCATCTCCTGTACTATGTCTGCAGTCTCTGGTCATCTCCTGTACTATGTCTGCAGTCTCTGATCATCTCCTGTACTATGTCTGCAGTCTCTGACAGTATTATCTGTGTATAGGAGTGAGCGGCTGTGGCAATGACACAGAGGGATGATGGGGGATTTCCTGCCCCCGGATTACAGGGGGAATCCCGCTCACCCTGTCCATCCCCTGGATTAGTAGATCTGATTGTCACATTCGGGGAAAGTCGCCGAGTCCTGGAAATGGTTTTATTGGACGGATGATCCTGGAAATGATGAGCTCAGAACTGCCACTTCTACAGCCTCCTCAGCAGCCAGACCATTCATGGCGGATTACAGAGGATATTCTGTACAGATATGGCGTCCTCACAGACAGGGCAAAGGAAAAGGGGGCGACATGCTGGCATCACACCTGGCCTGGTCTATGCCCACCCCGCACACAGGGCCATCCTATGAGCACCCCGCACACAGGGCCATCCTATGGGCACCCCACACACAGGGCCATCCTATGGCACCCTACACACAGGGCCATCCTATGGGCACCCCGCACACAGGGCCATCCTATGGGCACCCTACACACAGGGCCATCCTATGAGCACCCCGCACACAGGGCCATCCTATGGGCCTATCCTGGGCACCCTACACACAGGGCCATCCTATGGGCACCCTAACACACAGGGCCATCCTATGGGCACCCCGCACACAGGGCCATCCTATGGGCACCCCGCACACAGGGCCATCCTATGGGCACCCCGCACACAGGGCCATCCTATGGGCACCCTACACACAGGGCCATCCTATGGGCACCCTACACACAGGGCCATCCTATGGGCACCCTACACACAGGGCCATCCTATGGCACCCTACACACAGGGCCATCCTATGGGCACCCTACACACAGGGCCATCCTATGGGCACCCCGCACACAGGGCCATCCTATGGGCACCCCGCACACAGGGCCATCCTATGGGCACCCCGCACACAGGGCCATCCTATGGGGCACACAGGGCCATCCTATGGGCACCCCACACACAGGGCCATCCTATGGGCACCCCACACACAGGGCCATCCTATGGGCACCCTACACACAGGGCCATCCTATGGGCACCCTACACACAGGGCCATCCTATGGCACCCTACACACAGGGCCATCCTATGGGCACCCTACACACAGGGCCATCCTATGGGCACCCCGCACACAGGGCCATCCTATGGGCACCCCGCACACAGGGCCATCCTATGGGCACCCCGCACACAGGGCCATCCTATGGGCACCCCGCACACAGGGCCATCCTATGGGCACCCTACACACAGGGCCATCCTATGAGCACCCCGCACACAGGGCCATCCTATGAGCACCCCGCACACAGGGCCATCCTATGGGCACCCCGCACACAGGGCCATCCTATGGGCACCCTACACACAGGGCCATCCTATGGGCACCCTACACACAGGGCCATCCTATGGGCACCCTACACACAGGGCCATCCTATGGGCACCCTGCACACAGGGCCATCCTATGAGCACCCCGCACACAGGGCCATCCTATGGGCACCCCACACACAGGGCCATCCTATGGCACCCTACACACAGGGCCATCCTATGGGCACCCCGCACGGCGCCATCCTATGGGCACCCCGCACGGCGCCATCCTATGAGCACCCCGCACACAGGGCCATCCTATGGGCACCCCGCACACAGGGCCATCCTATGGGCACCCCGCACACAGGGCCATCCTATGGGCACCCCACACACAGGGCCATCCTATGGCACCCTACACACAGGGCCATCCTATGGGCACCCTACACACAGGGCCATCCTATGGGCACCCTACACACAGGGCCATCCTATGGGCACCCCGCACGGCGCCATCCTATGAGCACCCCGCACACAGGGCCATCCTATGGGCACCCTGCACAGCGCCCTCCTATGGGCACCCTGCACACAGGGCAATCCTATGGGCACCCTGCACACAGGGCCATCCTATGGGCACCCCGCACCATCTTGTGGGCACCCTACACACGGCGCCATCCTGTGGGCACCCTACACAGCGCCATCCTATGAGTACACTACACACAGGGCCATCCTTTGGGCACCCTACACACAGGGCCATCCTATGGGCACTCCGCACCATCTTGTGGGCACCCCACATGGCACCATCCTGTGGGCACCCTTCACACAGTGCCAGCCTATGGGCACTGCCCCTGGCCTGGGCTAAGGTACATGGTGTGCTGGAACTTGTAGTCCCATTGTCACACATGAATGATTCTTACAGTTCAGAGCACAGATCAGTACAATACGAGGACGTACACACCACGCAGGCAGTGACTAGGAAGGGTGAGCAGTGACCCATTCCTGGCCAGTCACATGACCGCGCTATGTGCCCAGTGGGCAGAAGGTTGGTATTTGGATAAGCAGCCCTCAGGGTGTGGCCGGTTCCTGGTTTGTTTTTGGTCCCGCTTGTTCCTGTTCAGCAGGTTTGTGTTTTTTGGGAAGTCTCTCCAGGGGTTTTATCTGACAACATCGATATTCTCTGGAACCAGCTTGAGGCGACATGACTGGCATTCCTCCCGTATTTGAAATCGTCTTCATAACAGCCAAGGTGACGGCTAGGGGAAGGGCCTGCAACACGCGGGAAAGCCTCAGCTCCGAAGGTTTCACTATGATCACCATTCACTCTAAGATGACCAACAAACCAAACTAAAGGTAACGCCTAGAACAGGTGTGGTGCCCATAAGATGGTCCTTCAGCTACTGAAGATCTACAAGTCCTAGAATGTACTGAAGACCACTTTTCTCACCATGTAAGGCTGAAGAACCAACATGTCCCAGGATTCCCTTCACATGTATAATCCCCAGTGATCCCACCATCATAGTCCTTGTTCTGGTACCGTCTGTTATGGGGTTACAACGCTCTGTCCTGTCAAAGAGTTGTGCTCCCGTGTTGTCACCCCTTGCTGAAGCTACAAGTGACCACGCCAACACTCATTGCTCAGACACGGCCAACCAATGTCACCATCAGGAAGCTGATCCAGTCTGTAGAGCTGCCTTTCTCAACCAAGGAACCCTTGAAATAGTGTTCCGGTCTCAGGGAACCCCTGCTAAACATGACTTCATCTACAGCTCATGTGATGGTGGAGGAGATAAATGCTCCTTACATCTGTGGTCAGTAAGAATAGCCCCCCCTTACAGATCGCTAAAAGATCATTGGATTCAGTGGGAACTTACAGGATGTGAAAGGTAGATACTGCGCATTGCTCAAGGAACTCCTAGCAACCTCTGGAGGAACCGCGATTGAGAAGATCTGCTCCAGAGCACTGAAGTAGTCAGGAAACGGTTCCATCCTATGGACACCCTACACACATCACCATCCTGTGGGCACCCCACACACATCGCCATCCTGTGGGCACCCCACACACATCGCCATCCTGTGGGCACCCCACACACGGTGCCATCCTGTGGGTACCCTACACACGGCGCCATCCTGTGGGCACCCTACAAGGGGCCATCCTATGGACACCCTACACAAAGTGCCCATCCTATGGGCACGCTGCACACGTTGCTATCCTGTGGGCACCCTACACACAGCACCCATCCTATGGGCCCCCTACACACTGCGCCATCCTGTGGGCAGCCCGCACACGGCACCATCCTGTGGGCACCCCGCACACGGCACCATCCTGTGGGCACCCTGCACACAGTGCCATCCTGTGGGCACCCTACACACGGTGCCATCCTGTGGGCACCCTACACACGGTGCCATCCTGTGGGCACCCTACACATGGTGCCATCCTGTGGGCACCCTACACATGGTGCCATCCTGTGGGCACCTTTACACCCTGGCCTGGGCTAAGAGCACCATGCATGTCCAGCAGTACATGGTGTGCTGGAACTTGTAGTCCCATTGTCACACATGAATGATTCTTACAGTTCAGAGCACAGATCAGTACAATACGAGGACGCACACACCGCACAGGTAGGTGACCCATTCCTGGCCAGTCACATGACCGCGCTCTGTGCCCAGTGGGCAGAAGCTTGGTATTTGGATAAGCAGTCTTCAGGGTGTGGCCGGTTCCTGGTTTGTTTTTGGTCCCGCTTGTTCCTGTTCAGCAGGTTTGTGTTTTTTGGGAAGTCTCTCCAGGGGTTTTATCTGACAACATCGATATTCTCTGGAACCAGCTTGAGGCGACATGACTGGCATTCCTCCCGTATTCGAAATTGTCTTCATAACAGCCAAGGTGACGGCGAGGGGAACGGCCTGCAACACGCGGGAAAGCCTCAGCTCCGAAGGTTTCACTATGATCCCCATTCACTCTAAGATGACCAACAAACCAAACTAAAGGTAACGCCTAGAACAGGTGTGGTGCCCATAAGATGGTCCTTCAGCTACTGAAGATCTACAAGTCCTAGAATGTACTGAAGACCACTTTTCTCACCATGTAAGGCTGATTAACCAACATGTCCCAGGATCCCCTTCACATGTATAATCCCCAGTGATCCCACCATCATAGTCCTTGTTCTGGTACCGTCTGTTATGGGTTACAACGCTCTGTCCTGTCAAACAGTTGTGCTCCCGTGTTGTCACCCCTCGCTGAAGCTACAAGTGACCATGCCAACACTCATTGCTCAGACACGGCCCACCAATGTCACCATCAGGAAGCTGATCCAGTCTGTAGAGCTGCCTTTCTCAACCAAGGAACCCTTGAAATAGTGTTCCGGTCTCAGGGAACCCCCTTCTGAACAT